AGAAACACACGCTCACCCTCCACAATGAGAATGAAACAATAGAGTCTACCCACACTGAACAAAAGGATAATTCCATGGCGCAGAATGGAGCTCAGCTCTTTCCAGCTCGGGTTTAGTGGCCTTATCTGAAGCAGGCACAATGGATCGCTTTTAGCCAGCCCTGTTTATTTCCAGCAAGTTACATTTTCCCACTAGTTTTCTCTTTTTCCACTGCACTCATCCACCCCTTTACCCTTCTTTCTCTCCTATTCCTATCTCTCCTCTAGACGAGTCTTGAGCACAATGCTTAATACTTAATAGAACTTAATAGAAGAGCAGGCTACGAAAAGGGTGATTTTGGCTTTTCTATTATTTACAGGACAGGAAATGGTGGAATGAATTTGATTGAGATATAACTTTATCTGCGTGCAAATGCGGGTCGCTTGCATTTGTTGAAACGATCCAACAATGAAGTTTTTGGCAAGCAAAGCAGTGTCTGTCTATCTGTCTACATAGATTTTAGCATGATCATGAATCCATGTGCGCTGTATTACCCTCCTGCTACATCTTCACTGTTTATAATCAGAGTTGTCAGAACAAACAGTGAAGAGGTTGAGGGAGGGCTAAATATGGCTTGACATGGGATAAATATTCTGATTTATCTGCAACTGTGCCAGGGGCGAAACCAAGTGCCACACACACAAACATACACTTTCACTAATACCATCAAGACTCCCCGCTGTCTCTAGCGAGGGTAGACCAGAGAGGGATCATTGCTAACATCTGTTCTTCCGTTCGTCCCAGTGAGGCAGAGTGCATGGCACTCTCCTCAGACACATCCTGGGCTCTAAAAACAGCCTGGAGAAAGTAGGGGAGAGAGAGAAAAAAGCAAAGCTCTTTAATATGTCATGCTCAAGTCAGGCCCAGCTGCAGCTGCACTTAACGTGTGACAAAAAAAGACAAAGTCACTGTGTCAAAGTAGCAACTAAATGTGAGCCGCAATCCCCACAGCACGCCTGCCCTATTTACGCCACCACATGAACACACACTCCTCTCTGCTTCCATCCAGTGCCGTGAAATGATATTCCATTTTGAAAAAATCCGGATTAAAGTGTATCAGGCCAAGTGTGTTGTGACCTTGTTACTAGGGGAAGGGGGAACGCGTAAACACACAGGCACATGCAGATGCCACACACTGTTGGAGCAAATCACAACGTAGGTTTTAGAGACGGCTTTCTCTGTCTTATCCCACGCACCTCTTTATTTGTTATGGTACCTTGTAATGACATTGCATGAGCCAGACAGCCTTGTTAATACCAAGCCTTTTGTCTGACCTGCTCATTATGTAAGTACAATATTTATTATCCTGTTTTATATTTTATATTCATTTTCCTTTACTGCTTATGAACTTTTGTTCGTGTTAAATCAGTTTTTGCTCTTTCCTTGAGGGCATTCTAAGCAGGAGAGGCTTAGAAAACCTCAAAAGAGTCTACCTTAAAGAAAAAAAAAGTAAATTCTCTCCCACCATTGCTGCTCTTTATCTCAACACCTCCTCCTTTTTATTCGTCTTTTTTTCCTTCTTTCATCCCTCTCTTCTCTGTCAGGAATGAACTCATGTAATTAAGCCGCTAACATGCCGTTAAAGAATTGGCTAATTCAGCAAGGAGGAATTATTCCAATTTGAAATGACTCATTAACCAGACGTGATATTTTTGTTGAGCTTCTCTTGGAGCAAGATTTGGAGAGCACTGAATCACTCCCGTGGTGTGAACTCGTTTCGCTGTATATGTGGGTTTGTGTGTGTGAATGTCTACATGCGTTGCAAGGGTAATAAAGATGCTTTTGGTTTTGCTCATACGGCCTGGTGCGTGCATTGATACGGGTGCGTAACTTGTAAATGGGCCCGAATGCAAGCTGTGAATGTCTTGTGTGTGTGAGAGAGAGTGATTAAAGACATGCACAGAGGCACAACTCAGTGAGGGGTCTAAAGAGGAACTATTGAATGTACAAAAGCCCTTAAACATCGGCTCATCCTGATGAATTATCACAGCTCGTAAACATTTAGATGCTGGGGCAAGATTCTTTAATTGCAATCGATGTTCATCCAGTACCGGACGCAAAAAGGAGAATCCCAGAAGCACAACACAATTACAGTATCTGTAAAAAGACTCAATATCTCATAAAAGTGGAGCTCCAGGGATGGCAAGACTGTACAAAAAGAACGATTCTATATAAACATACAGTTAAAGGCTTGGCTTAGAAATACCGCCGCTAATAATATTGTCAAAAAGAGTTTTGTTTTTGACAGAAGAGTCATATTTAGCTCTTTTGATCTTATCTTATCTTTTTTTTTTTTTAAGAAAAAACATAATGTGTCATAGAGGGCTTCCATAAGTCTGTTTCCAAAAATAAAGAGGTAATTGCTACTTAGTTTCTGATTTTTTAATTTTCACAATAACATACAATAGCATGAAAATAATACTAAACTAAGAAAAGGTTTAATACTAAAAGTAACATTTGAATCATATAGGGAAGAAACTAGGTAGGTCTTTGGAAGAGAGACTGAGCATTGGTATCCTTCTCTCAGTAAGAGTTCCCAAGGGAATGGGACACTTGTGGGATGCAGGGTGATCTGAGGGTGTCTCAAGGTGTCAAAATGAGTGTTTTTCTCTTATTTTCATTTACATTTTAAAATATCTATTTGTCAGTTATGTTTTAACATACCAATTTGCCTGCCCAGTAGAAAGTTGGTACTTCCATTTTATTGAAGTGTCTCCCTCCTACTCTATTTCTTCTCCTGTCTGGCTGTGTCCATCCTCAAGAGAAGAAAAGAGGACTGTCAGCACAAGTGGGAGAAAAGAGCAAGTTTGAAAAGACCTGAAATCTGCACTGGCCTTTGCCTCGGAGGGAAAGAAAGCTTATGTTTCTGAGAGAGAACACTGGTGTGGGGTTGTGTAGGAGGTTAGGGGGGTAGATGGTCTTTGCTGCACCCCTTGATGGAGTGGATAATTGAGTCTCGACCAAACTCGGTCAGCCAAGCTCGGAAGCCCCTTTTCAGCTCAAAGAAATGCAGTGAGAATGATGAAGTGAGAGAGAGAAAGTGAGAACAACAGAGAGTGAGAGAGGATGGAGGAGAAAGAAAATCCTGGCCTCCCTCAGGGGGGGGAAAGCCGCTATTGAAAAGCTATTAAGCTTGCATTTAGCAGGATTGATTGGAAATGAAGAGGCCTATTAAAACCAAGGGACAAGAGGACAATAGTGTGTTTCTGGCCACCGTATGTTGCCCTCCTTTCACCGTCTTGCTGGCCCCCCTGGGGTGGGGCCCCCTACCCTGTCTGTTTAAACACCCCTGGCCCAAAGAGAGAAGTTTCAGAGGGGTTTAGCACCAGCTGAATAGATCCCTCTTTATCCACCACTGGCACCCTATTCTCCTATTTAACCACACAGAAATAAAAGGGCAAAAGAAAGAGGAGGAAAGGCAGAAAAAAATGGGGGGACGGTCCATTTCTTTTTGAAGAACCAGTAACAGCCCTCCCCTCTTTTTCCCCCCTCACCTTCTCTGAAATCTCATGTGAATGGATTAGTTACTTCTGGCTGGTTGCCATCTTTCTACTTTCAAGAGGGCTCATGATGCACCAGATCCAATCATGAAGCTCTTGCAATGGAGACAGACAGAAATGTGTGTGAGAAGGCTGTGTGTGTACATAAAAGTGACTGGGATAGTGAGAGAGAGAAGGCTGTTTGTTGTTTAGTCTGGGTGCATTTAATTTTTTCAGTAGGATGGAGAGCCTCTATGCAAATTAGACAAAAAAGACAGAGCAAAAAGTGTTTAAAAAGGAGAAAGAAAGATGGCAGCAAAGCCTAAATAGAGGGAAGGCAGTGAGGCGGCAGGTGCCTTCTCAGCCCGCTATGGATGGCTCTCATGGGACGCTGAAAGCTCCTTTGATTGTTTAACATACAATTTTACTGAAAAACACCACTTCCCCCACCCTGGGAAGTGGTAACAGATTCTCTGGCTCAACAGGACATCGTTTTCCATGTCATTCTATGCAGGTTGCCATATGGGCATAGGAAAGAGTTAAATAAGTCATGACCAGCTGACGCCAAGACCCCTTGCCAATTGCAGAAAACCAAACTGTTGTAAAATGTGTTACGGACTGCACTTTTTTTTCCAACCGGAAGATGATGCAACATAAGCCTTTTCTGCATCAATCAGTTAGCGAAATGCTACTCGCTGGTCTTGGTAAAAAAAATAATAAAAATAGCCCAGCGCGTGACCAGTCGTGAAACTTCACTTAAAAGAGTGTGTTGGGTAGGCAAAGTGGATTTAGATCAGTGTAAAAGGGTAATATGTTCCTAGAGCCCAGTGCATGGGTACTGCAAGGAAAATTGTGTTTCATTGTGTATCTGGAAGAGTATTACCAGCTGCAGAGAGATGGTGAATGTGAGCTGGAATGGCTCTTGCTGATTCAGCGCTAATATACTATCGCACTAATGTGTTCTGTGCTTTCCCATCTCTCTCCCTGTACAAAATCACTGACCTGAAAGCTGGACTGGTTAGAGCAAAATGACAGATAGACTTCAGCATTAGGAGGGAGAGTCTTGCTGCAGTTTACCATGGTGATCCAACTAGCTACTGGTCCATTTCACAGAGCCAGGATGATACAAAGAAAAGTGGCACCTCTACATTTAAAGAAAAACTGAAACAGAATAAATGCTATGGCATGCCTTTTTAACCAATTTGTTGAAAGCAGGACATGGTAGATTGAAGCCTGTCATTGCATTTGAACAATGGTATGAAGTCATAAGCCCTTAAGGATGCTTCAGTTTTACAATGTTTGATGTAAATTTCATCATCATTGGGGTCCACACAGACTGTGCACATACAGACCTATGTATGTGCACAGTCTGTGATCAACTACATGGATCCACTGTGCTCATTATACATATTTGCATCACAATATCAAACAACAACCAAGGTATTAATGTTTTTTTTGTGTGTGTGTGTTTTCCTCCTGCAGTGTCTCAAGCAGCCTACTTTTCCCAGCAGCCCCAGGACCAAGTAGTGGTTGCTGGCCAATCAGTAACCTTGCCCTGTGTGATTGTGGGATACCGGGGCATGGTGCAGTGGACCAAAGACGGCTTGGCGCTAGGCGGTGAACGAGACCTACCCGGTAAGAATTCTATAAGGCCCAAACAAACAAGGAAAAATTGTCTGAGTGAAGTTAGTGAGTCATTCCATTCAACAGTGCTTTTCACAACTGAGTCAGTTTTGAAAATTGAGTTGAAAGGGGAAAAAATGAAGTCAACGTAATTAATTTTCAAGGTGCTTCTAAATGGTGCACTGGTTTGTAATTAGCTAGAAACCCACTTTCCTATATGTCAACCAAATTTAGAGCAAGTAGCAAGGCAGAAATGATGCCATTCCCCCAGGAGGTACACAATGCTTATTGAAGTCCATTTACCAAGGCTTAGTCTTCTCTTATCTTCATCTTTTTCTTTCCAATTAACAACTGGGAGATAAAACCAATCATAGATTGGCAGGTAAAGGGCAGCATCCCTTCTCTGCAGCGGATGTGTGTTTGAGTAATGTCACTGCCTCACTTCCTCAGCTGTATTGAGTGAAGAAACTGTAAGGCAAAAAACACCACGGCTAATGCAAACTAGCGTTTAATTTGTCTAATCATCTCAGCCGTCTGCTAGGGCTGAGGTGGAGAATCAATCACCGCTCATGTCATGCATTGACATTTAAATGATTTCCCCAGTAGCTTTGAAGGCAACAACCTGGACAGTGAAGTTAGTCTATGTTTGCTGGCTGCATAAGCGAGGCATCTCACATGTTGGCGCTGACCAAGTTTTTAATGTGCATAGAATAGTGTCTCAAAACTAGCCCTATCTGTGATGGCAATATGTGTGTGTATATCTCTAACAGTGATTTTTGTGTGGATCAGGTTGGGTACGTTACTCTCTGATGGGAGACCCGCTATCAGGAGAGCACAGCTTGGTGATCGATTCAGCTGAGCTTGGCGATGATGCGGTCTACGAGTGTCAAGCCACGCAGGCTGGGCTGCGATCACACAGAGCCAAACTGACGGTGCTGGGTAAGAACTCTGCGTGTGTGTGATATGAGTGAGTGAGTGTGATTGAGAGTGAGAAGAAACCACTGCGATATAACTCTCCTGCAGCTGATTAAAAGCGAGGGGAATAGAGCATTCCTCATAGTCCCCAATTGCATTAACAGTATTTAAAATACTGCCTCAAATGCGTAAAACTGCAAATTTCTCTGCTCCACATAAAACACTTCAGAGATCCCACCCCCATGCAATCATAAGTCAAGCCTTCATTATTTATTCACAATTTTAAATCACGCCACAACAGAACTAATTTTCTTCAAACAGAGCGAAACTGAGTCGACAGAAACAATGAGGAAATGATCCAACCCCCACCTCACTGTTTCTTTCCCTCTCTCACTCTATAGCCTACTGACACTTAACACGGTGAAGGGCCAAGGAAATGTGATTGCAGCAGTCACAAATGACTTGCGTGAATGGTAAAAAGTCAAAGTCTGCACAGTTAGCACATTCTACAGTGACTCACGGAATTCATCAACCGCAGGGCTGCTTTTACATTAACGCAATGTGATTGATCTACATATTCTCCGGCATTTAGCGACAGTGGGTGGGGGGTGGTGGGCACCGAGGAGGGGGGAATGATCACTGGGGATTTTAGCTCAGTGCTACATTGCTGACACCTGGTGGCCCAACTTGGACACAGCCGTGTTTTATAGTACCTGGAAAACATAGATTTCCCCTGCAGTGCAAGCATATCAAGGGCTAAAAATATGAGACGTTAAAGATTTAGCACTATGAGAGTGAGAAAGGCCAAGTTTGTTACTGCACAATAAAAATAATTCTGCCTCTAACTGAACAAAGTTGGCACAGCCACACAGACTCACCGAAGAAAAGTAGGGCTACAACAATAGCCTTTGTGCACACTGCCGATGTTTGGCGAACCGTTCGAATTCCCAGACTAGAGCATAGCCGATATGCCAGCTCCTGTGTGTAGGGAATGAGGTGTGTGTGTGCACGTGTATGTGACTCACGGAATTCATGTTCATGTGTGCACGTGCATGTAGGGGCATGTGGGGAAATCAATGCAGCCGGATGAGACCAAAGCAATCCAACAGAGTCAAAGAAGTCAACGGCAGGAGTGCAGTCGAGGGAATCCACATGGAAATTAAAATCACCTCGCGCACAGATTCCATTAGCGCCTGGGCAAGACCAGCAAAAAGACCTCTGACAATTCTGATACAAAAACAGAAATTGGTTCGGAGAAAAGGAACAGGACAGGTGGAAGAGTGTGTACCACAGAAAGATTCTTTTTTTGCGTGTTTCTGTGCGTACTGTGAGATGGACACCTTCATCAAAGGTGGCAGACACTATTTGCCCAAGGCTTGCACACAGGCATGCAAACAAATGAACAAATCAGTAATTCAGATGAAACGTGCCTGCGGCGGAGTGCCTGTAAATAGACTCATAATGGCATATCTCAGCCATGTTAAAAGGGCATGAGTACTGTCTTAACCTCTTTTCAGAGAAAGCCAATCTCTCTCAATCTCTCTGTCCATTTACCAGCTTGTTCTGTATAGGTCAAACTGGCAGAATTAAATGACTCTGCACTGCAGTCAGGAAGGGTTTAGGGTATGGCTTTACGTATAGTACATGTAATATATGCTAGGATGTATGCCACTTGTGGGTTCCCATAGTGACTGGACACCTGTACATTTCAGGCTAATTGGGTGGAACTGACATAGACTTCCAAATCTGAAAGAAGGTAAAAACAAGTATGATGTAGTCTTAGTGTTTTACTTGAAGATAAAAAAAACTCTACAATTCTTTTTCAGTGCCACCTTCAGATCCTGTAGTGGAGGGAGGGCCAGTGGTCCGTCTTAAAGCTCATACACCCCATAACCTGACATGCCGGGCATCTGGAGCCAAACCTGCCGCAGAGATTACCTGGTACCGAGATGGAGAGATAATGCATGATGCCATCTACTCAAAGGTGAGATTGTGGACACATCAGTCTTTATGGCAGACGTGAGAGTCACTATGGCTGGTTACAGCTTAGGATCTCTGTCTTGCCCCTTACCTATTAGCTCCACCACATAGTGCACACCCAAAGTTGCAAAAACCCTCTTGAATTCAATCTCTGTACGTCTCATCCTCATCACCCTACTGCAAGCTGCCTCCTTTTGTGCCTCTATTTTCTCTCACTCTCGCTGTTGCTCTAATACTCGAGCATAACTGGAGCATGTCAAAGCTCAGACAGGCATAAGCGTTTGATACAGTTTCCGCTGAGAGAGAAAGAGCAAAGGAGGGAGAGAGAGGGAGTGAGAGAAGAAAAAGAGAGAGAGAGAAAGAAAGGGAGAGGGTGGAAGAAGAGAGGAGAAATCAGCCACAACAATGCCGAAACACAATGGGAAGTGCAGTGGAGCATGAACCGGCTGCAACTGCGAAAGTGTCACATTTGTCATGCTCTCTGACCACGCTAAACGACACGTTTAAGGGGGCAAGAGCCAGCAGTGAATCAAGGGAAGAGGAGAAAAGCGAGAGAGAGAAAGGAAAGACAGATGAATCTCGGAAAACAGATGAGGGAAAAATGAACACAAGAGCAGCTTGTTTAAGAGTGAGGTGGAAAACTCAAAGCCATTTTGATTTAAGCTGGAGGAGAAAACGAGATGGAAAGCCACATGAAGACAAAGAACAAAGTGAAGGAATGCGAAAAAGGTAGACACAGGGGGGCAAGTCGGTGGGAGAGAGCAGATGAGCAATAAGAAAAGGACAGTGAGTGGTAAGGCTGATGACAGGCGGCATCGTGACTCGAGCTAACGTAAAAATGCTTTCAGCGCATCGGAGGTTAAGTGTGTGACCTGCCATTGATTCGCCCCCAGGCTCTCCAGGGAACTCTCTTCCCATAATGCTCCTGCCCCAGTACAGCACTCTGTCTTCCCCCCTCCAATCATCCCAAACCTAAAACTGCGCCTGATCCTCCATTAAGGCTGTCTTGTAGATTCAGCAGGCAGCAATTCACCTAGACTGTACACCTCTCCCCACTTAAGCGTATTGATTTCTCACACACAATAAATAGATTTCGAAGATGATGTGCAGCAGGAAGAGCTGATAGACAGATCTTTGTGAAAACGTGCTAACGGCAGAATGGGCCCGGCAGCGTCGTAAAGCGCAGACGCTCACCTCCCTCGTTAAACTGATGGCGGCTTTAATTCTCTGCAATGCTCAGCCTACAGTGCTGGCACAGTCTTGAGCTCAAATGGGATTACGGGCATCATGGGAATTCCTTATTAAATTAGGACTTGCATCAGGAAATATAGGACAATTAGATTAGGATTATCATGTCTGTGTGATTTTAACAGTGACAACAAGATAGAGAAACAGCTGTGTGTTTTGTATCTGAAGTACTCCGACCATTAGGGCGAAATAACATTGTACTAGCCACGCTGTCTGTCAAATGTCTCTTCTTATTTGAATCCAAAAGGTGTCACACGTAACAGAAATTATGAATAGTTTTGTTAAAAGCTGCCTTTGACATTATTTTCAGAACATATCATTGAGGCATTCTATTTTCAGAAAGCTATAGCAATTTGTTCCACCAGCACTGATACGGTCTCAGTTTTGAACTGGTTTCACACCGTATCAATGTCTTTTCAGACTTTGATGGAGGATGGAAAGAGAGAAACAGCGGTTAGCATGCTACCCATGGTGCCTGAGGACAGAGATTCTGGACGTACATACACCTGCAGGGTCCTAAACCCTGCCGCCCCTGCAGGTCGCCAAACTTCAGTTACCATCAGTGTTCAGCGTGAGTAGTTTATTTTTCTGTGATGCAGATTATGTGGTACTTATTTCATTTATACAGCCACAAGCAATTTTTTTTTATATATATTCCGAATACTTGAAAATGTCATGTTCTTTGTGTTTTAAAGGAACACTCCACTATTTTTGAAAATAGGCTCATTTTCCAACTCCCCTAGAGTTAAACAGTTGAGTTTTACCGTTTTCGAATCCATTCAGCCGATCTCCGGGTCTGGCGGTAGCACTTTTAGCTATATATATTCCGAATACTTGAAAATGTCATGTTCTTTGTGTTTTAAAGGAACACTCTACTATTTTTGAAAATAGGCTCATTTTCCAACTCCCCTAGAGTATTCAGAATAAAAAAGTATGGCTCATTGGGAGGAAAAAAAAACATTAATTTTGTCACATTAAAAATACAACAGAGAGTGGTATTTCAGTGCAAGATTAGTGATTCAGTAAATGTGAGACTTGGTTTAAATGTATTTACATGGCACTGTACAATTGTCTATTTACATGCAAGTTTTTTTATGGTAAAAAAGATGTGTAATTGGACAGGGGAATGGATTTTTTAAAAGGATTGTGACTTAGATTTACACACCTGGATCTTGGCAGTAAAGTCATTGGGAAGGATTTGTAAAGCCTCTATTGCTGCAGTGAATCTAATCCTGCATGTTTCCTTCCAGATCCTCCGTCTGTGACTCTCTCTGTTCAGCCTCAGACGGTGATGGAGGGAGCAAAAGTGTTGTTCATCTGCTCTGCCTCTGCCAACCCTGAGATCACAGGTTACAGGTAAGCACATCTAATATCACAACAGACTCAATGCATAATCCCAGATTATCCACTCCATCAGATTTAGGTTTGAGGGTAAATCCCAAATTGGATATAAATTACAGATCAAATGCTTTGAGAACAGTTGCTTCAGTGTTTGGTGTTAATAATAGTTGTTACTGTAAAGGGTGAAACATCACAAAGAATTTAGCAGTGAATCTAATAAATGAATTTTCATGTTCACGTTGCAAACAGATGGTCCAAAGGTGGGGTTCCTATCTCAGAGGCCAATGGTGACAGCCTGGAGGTGACCGTAGACCACTCTTACTTCACAGACCCAGTCTCCTGCGAAGTGTCCAACTCAGTAGGAAGTACTAATGTCAGCACCTTGGTGGATGTACAATGTAAGTACTCATGTGGTCATCCACCTCCGTAATAAAATATTAAAGCAAAATTGGAGATGTTCAATCTGTATTTCTCTCCTTTGTCTTTAATTTCAAGGAAGGAAATTAAAAAAGTCCTTATAATCAAGAAGATATCCTTTAGAGATGTTTGTTGTACTATAAGTAACATTGAATAGAAAGTGCTTGATAAATGACATCGGTTTGTAACTCACCATTTTTTAGTTGTGGCCACATATTTTGGACTCCATTCAGATTTAGATGAGGAGTGTCTGTTAAATAAGATATATTTTCATTCAGTACAGTCAAAGTCCCTTTAAGGCAAGTCATGTCACTCGGTGGCCATCTTTGAAACACCTCTCAGGCATGCAAGTGCTGCTCCTATCTCTTTGAATGGGGAAACATCAAATTGTCCAAAACCGTTCGCCAAATTTAAGATTAAATTTCATATTGGAAATCACCAATGAAATCTGACAACTGTCTCATAAATGTTGTTTATTTTGCTCAAATAGCATTAAAAAAGCTTTTTTTTCAGGCTAGACCAGCCAGAGCGCATGCGCAGTCCTAGGCGCATGTCTCAGAACGCTGTTTCTATAGCAACCGGGACTTCTAACGGCAGCTGCAGTGACGCACCGACTTTACCGATTAGGGATTGGCTCTTTTGCTCAGAAGGCGGGGCTTCGTTTGATAGGGCGGCCATACTGAGCGTTGCATTTTTCCCCATTCAAAACTATACAAGTGACACGTCTTGGGTATTCTAAAGTCTTTGGTACAGTCTAACAGTGGTGTTCAGGTATAATCAGTCTCTTACATAAACGTGTAAACATGGCACTGCATGAAAAATGTTCATATACAAGAAGTAAACAATACCATACGTACCTCCCACATTCTCTCCTTGGAATGACCAATGTTTCCTACTTGTATTCTTAATAAGGCCGCAGATGAGAACATTATAATGGGATTTATTTTTGTTTTGTTCACACAAAGACATACTCTAATGAAATGTACTAAAACACAATGGGAATCCACATCTTTTATTTTTAGTTGGTCCCAAGTTGCTGACTGAACCGAAACCCCAGACAGTGGACATAGGGATGGATGCTGCTTTCACATGCTCATGGACGGGCAACCCTCCCCTCACTCTGGCCTGGACAAAACAAGGCTCCAGTGTGGTATGGTGACCTCTTCTCTTCTTCCTAAATATGGCACACCATCTGTTCAACAACTGTCACAGCAATCCTGTTTGAATCATTCTATGAGTTCTAGATGCATATTGATTTTCATTAGGGCATGGAAGGATTGGGTTGGGATTGGAGTGATTCAGAAAAACTTATGTTTTGTTTGACAAACTTTTGTTACCCCAGTCCAGTTTTTATTTGACCCAGTACACACATTCCATCTCCATTAAGCAAGTTTATTCAGTCAAAAAAGGTTCATTAAACAAGTTCATGTCACCTCATCTAGGGCACCAGAATCACCCACCTCCAAAATCCCAATTTAACCCCTGTCTGTACAGGAAAGATAAAATGATTTTCAGAGCTGGATGGTTAATGGATGACATTTCTGTTTACGGTACATTTACAGGAGTTTGGCAAATGGATAAAGTGATTGCTAGCCTAAAATGAAAGTTTAGCTCCAGTAGATGTGTGAAATGCATCAGCCTATTCTGCTGTAAGTGTTTCTCTGCTGCTGCTTAATTAGATTTCATAAAGAGCCTGAGAAAGCAAACAAAAAGCGAGAGAGAGAGAGAAAGAGAGAGAGAGGGAGGCTAAGGCTGTAAAGCCAGAAGGTTCTGATGAGGCAATCAGTTAATTTTGCCATGACTACATCCCTCCACCCAGCGCTTCCTGAGTATGGGCTGATCTGTTCCACAAGTAGAGCGTTTACTTCATCGCCACAAGATATGGATTAATTGGCTAATTCGATGAGTGCTGGCGAATGAAAAATCGAGGCGAGTGCTAAACGGATTAATCACAGTTTGGCGGCGTCGAGAGGGGGAAGGAGGGGAAGGGGAAGAGAGTGCTCTAATGATCAATGGCTTCTAACAAGTGACCGCGGCGTGTGTACCAGTGCACCAGAGGCGAAGGAGCACAAGTTTCTGCTCACACTCCGGAAAATTCCACACTGCCATTGTCGTAGGTTTAATTAGAGCAGTGGGTTGACTCAGAGGACCCAGGCTGGAGCGCTTTAGACAGTAATTAAGATTGCTGCAGACAAAATTACAGGCGGAGTCAATGCTTTCCCCTTGGTATTGGTGGCATTGGTCTTTCTCTTGTGTGAGCCACGAACAATGAAATGGATGACTGGTGCTTATGGCAATAGCCATCTCTGAGGGCCACGGCTTGATCTGTCTGGAACAAAAAACTCACTGTGTCTCTACACAATCTTCCCATCTTCATCCTGTGGAAATATTAACATACTGTAATGATTTTCATTCCACAACTTACTGGAAAGATAAGACTTTAACAGGAAGTGGAAAAACATCAATATTACAAACACATATAGACAGGCACTGTCATACAGACATTTGATAGAACGTGTATAGTGGTGCTAATGGTAATAGCCATCGCTGAGGGCCACGGCTTGATCTGTCTGGAACAAAAAACTCACTGTGTCTCTACACAATCTTCCCATCTTCATCCTGTGGAAATATTGACATGCTGTAATGATTTTCATTCCACAACTTACTGGAAAGATAAGACTTTAACAGGAAGTGGAAAAACATCAATATTACAAACACATATAGACAGGCACTGTCATACAGACATTTGATAGAACGTGTATAGTTATACTTGGTGTGTGCTAATCTGTAGGTATAAATTGACATGTGGTTTGTTGCAAACTCTTGCCTGATGCCTATATCTGTGGTCACATCTGTGGAGAAATGTCTTGGTATAGCAACAGATCTGACCAGGCTATTCTTGTTCATTTTATTTAACAGGTGCTCAGCAATAGTAACACCCTTCAGCTGAAGGCAGTTACACAAGAGGATTCTGGGACATACACCTGCAAAGCTATCGTGCCTCGGATTGGTGTGGCAGAGAGAGATGTAACTCTAACTGTCAACGGTAACTAAATGCTATCTTTTTATCTCATTACTTTTTTTCTCCCCTCTTTCTTTCCCAATTTTGTTCATGATATATTCTGTTTCAAAACCACACGAGTTCACAGGTTTTGGTTAGCTTACTAGGGTTTGGAACAAAAGCTGTAATTTTTTTCTATTAATCAGTGAATTGCTTCCCTAATTGATGAGCTTCTTATTTATGTGCATGACTCATGCACTTGGTCTTGAATACACAAGGAACATCAGCTCTGTGTCTTCCTTTGCTTTCATTAGCACCCTTAGTCAGTACGATTTCTCTCTTTCACACCAACACTTCAGGCCCTCCCATCATCACGGCTGAGGCCACGCAGCAGGCCGTCAAGCATTCCAAGGGCAAGCTGGAGTGTCTAGTGGGCAGCAGCCCTCCTCCTGACAAGATTGTGAGTATACATTCTCCTATTTCTGTATGTGTGTGTTTGCTAGGTATCTGATGCTTAGTGTAGCCGTATTCCTGACAAGCTTGTTTGTGAGCCTTTCTCTTGAGCAGGTGCTTTCGGTGTGTGCACATCACACGCCCAAGCTCCCTTCCCCTCTCCCTCCAACAAGATCTCATGCGAGTCTCCTCTTTCCTTGCTCCTGTCTCTCTCTTTCCATATCTGACACCCACACAAGCACAGCTACACAGCCCCATTCCCCTAATAGAGAGCGCTCGATGAGAGGGCTCATCCTGTATCTCACCTTTTCCACCCTCAAGCGTGCAGAGGCGAATTGCATTAATGCCAGGTTCTGCAGAGAAGACCTCCGGCCCCCTAGGCTCCTTTCCAACGGCGAGCAATTAGCGCGTAGCACCACTGACCTCCCGTGACCCAATCGTACGTGGGAAGGCCTTTCAGTGGATAATTAGGGTCTAAGTTGGAGAGAAATCGAGAAGAAGGATAGAGATGCACCGAGACAGATGGAAGTTAAGCAAGGGTAACTGAAAGCAGTTGATGCAAAGAAGGAATCAGAGACGGAAAAAACCTCCTGATCCTGGAAACAGTGACAGGTGGGGATTCGGGGTGTTATTGGCTGTTATTTCTTCACCTGAGGCCAGTCAAGGGAGGACTTCTCAGACATGCTGTTTCACCTCTTTGCCAGAAAGGTGAAGTAAAGAAACAATGGCTTGTTTTCTCTCCCTGAGTAGCTTTGAGATCTCAGACTGACCTGCTGCTAGACAGGAGCTGCTTGTCTTCCCCGCAGGGTTTTTCACACAGCTCTTTTTCACAAGCCGAGACACAATACTGTTGGTAAACCAGCTCGACATGACAGTGTAAAAGAGCACAAGAAAAATTCCAATCTCTGACACTGAGTTTATGACACTAAAGTCTAATTCTGGGGTGAGGCTTGAATATATACTGAGATTTTAGTTCAACTTGGAATCAAAATCGACCCTATTTACTTGCTTAACACATGTTCATGGTCATATTGTGAATGATTCAATGGTGCATAAGAAATACATTTGTTTGTCTTTGCAATTCCCTCTTACCTTTTCATAATCAAATCGCCAAAATTGCAATTGTCATTTCATGCATTAAAATGTGAGAATAACAACACTTGCTGTACCTTACACCTTGCTATCTCCTTCTCCTCAGGTGTGGACATTTGGAGACACGATCTTGTCATCTGGCTCTTCTGGTCGGTTTTCCGTGCAGACAGTACACAGTGACCGAGGGGTCCTCTCCTCGCTAATCCTCTCAGAGACTATGGCCCAGGATTTCCAGCTTCGATACAACTGCACTGCTTGGAACCGCTTTGGTACAGGCACGGCACTGGTCACTCTTGAAGAGCAAGGTATGGGGTCCTCATGCCAGATTATCCTGTGTAAAACATCCTTTTATTTGAATGCAATATAGTACCGGTCAAAAGTTTGGACACACCTAATTCCTTAATACGTTCCAGCTTTTAGAATGGTGGTAGACATTCAATTATGAAATTACAAATGAAATATGGATATTGGGTAATGATCAAACATGTTAAATATAAAACCGTTTTACATTTTGGGTCCTTTGAAGTAGATAGCCCTGCTTTAAAACAGTATTTAATTGGAATCGGTATTGAGTTTACATGTATGCTTCGTACTTGTCCCCCTCCCCCATTCGTCAATTAAAAAATAAAAATAGTATATTTGTTAAGAAATTCCTATATATTTGTCTAAAAAACCATCTCATGCATTTACGCTTAAACTTAGATCAAAAGCTTCTCAGGACTGTGAGAAACAAATTCAGTCAAGTGAGTCCATACTTTTGACTGGTAGTGTAGATCAGTGAGTGTTTGGGAAAATGTTCTGGGAAATTTTGGGTCTGGAGAGTCAAAAATTGGAGGCGTGAGAAGCAAGCAACTGAAAGTAAAGTGAGAAAAGTGGCAGGAGGTTTAGATTTGTAGATGGGCCAAGCTCTTTTGGCACCATCGCTTTAATAATTAAAGGATGGTTGATTTGAAAACACTGACAGTAAGTTGTAGGGTTTGTCCACCTTAGAGTTGGTGCCTTTTATCTAAGATTAGTCATGACGAGCTGTAATCCAGTTTGAGTCAGCTCTATGCAGGAATCGTGTCTCAAAACACCCTGCAACCCTGTGCTTATCTTAATTATACACCACCAAATCAATATCATTTAATCAGGAGATGGTCCACTTAATGAATACATTCGTTCCATAACATAAGATATAGATTTTGAGCCTGAATGAATTAAATCAAGACCTAATGTACGGCATGGGTATGTGACGCTTCACTGACCGTTTCATTTTGTATGCACAGTGCACCAGTTTAAATTTGCTTAAATAAGACTAAGCGTGGTAGACGGCTTGAGTCTTTGTACTGGGAGACACCAAAAATAAGGTCTTCGCCAGCAATTTGCATCAAGGCAGCAGAACCAAGTCTCTGGAGAGGCAGACAGTGCTATCTCCTGGAATCTCTAATTAGATTACTGTCGGCTGCCTCGCTGCATGTCAGGCCTGGTTACCCCTCTTCCACCAGAGATTAGAGACAATAGCCTGGTCCTGTGATGCCACTGTGGATCACACTAGATGAATTTCTATATGTTGCACTTGAGTTTGGACGTAGCTCGGAAAAAGAGCTTCTTTGTAGAACACGTTTGACAAGCAGAGAGCATTTCTTCAATCAGCTGGAGATCCGACATACCTTTTGATAATATGAAAATTAAATCATCACAAAGAAAATGTCAAGAACATGTCTGGGTCATAATTTAGCCCCAAACTTATTTGTAAACTTACATTAACAATATATATATATGATTATGGACAGATGGCAGGACAGAAAGTGTAAGGAAAGAACGTGACATGTGGCCGAATTTGTGCTCTGCATTTAATAACCCATCCAAGTGCACACACACAGCAGTGAGTAGTGAAACACGCACACACACAATGCTGCGGCGCCCAGGGAGCAGTTGGGGGTTCAGTGCCTTGTTCAAGGGTCTCACCTTAGTCGTGGTATTGAGGGTGGAGAGAGCACTGGATATTCACTCCCCCCACCTACAATCCCTGCTGGACCTGAGACTCGAACCCGCGACCTTCGGGTTACAAGTCCGACTCTCTATCCATTAGGCCACGACTGGCCCAAGTCACGACTGTAGAAGTCGTGGATGTTATAATAGAAACATTTAAAATCCACTTGTAATAAAATGAAAGACATGCCTGAATTTGTATCATCTGCATACCCTGCAACTGAAGAGGTAGATGTAATAATAGATTTTCAGAATTCAGCTCAGTCACGTTCCCTGTTTCCCTTGCAGAGGCCCTCCCCTTGCTAATCATCATTGGAGCATCGGTGGGCGGAGGCTGTGTCTTCATTGTTTGTGTCATTACCCTGGTTTCCATCTGCTGCCGCCACACTGCTAAAGGTGAGGTCAAAGGTCAGATGTTATCTGAGAGTTCTTATTCTCTCCTCAAAAAACATGATACAGTAAAAAAATCAAACGAACTAACTAGACAGAGGTTAATTATGGGGCCACCTCTTTGCCTGGAGCAGTGTTGACCTTTTCACCTCTCTGGAAATCTTCCCACCGTTCACCTCATTAATCTCTATACACTGCGCTATTTCCTCACCCAGGCAAAAAGGGCACACGCCTGTCTAAGAGCGACATCCGCGTACAAATCGTGCACAGCGACCACAACGCAGCCAGAGGAAACGATGATGAGGAGGACGTGAAGGAGCCTATGGTAAGTCACCCTCAAAACTAAAAAGAAATACTTAGAATAGCCTAATAGATAGAAATAGCTTTTATACCATTTTTCTTTCATAAAAATTCTTTCCTGATATGCTGCAGGAAAAACATGTAAACGTCAACAGCATCACAACCTGATTTCTGAGGGAAATGGAATAGGAAACAAAAAATATTAGGCTGTACTTTACTGCCAAAAAGTAAAGTCATTTATTATATTTTGCTGAAAGATGCTTAAAAAAAACATGTATACTGATCATTTGTTCACAAGAAGATCAGGAACTAGGGACAATATTAATGATGACTGCATGACATTTAACATACCATAGACACTGAGCAGTCTGTAACCCAAATCTCTGTACTCTTCTCAGGCTCCCAACAGCAGTGAGTCTCCAGGAACGTCTCGCACAGAGCACAGCGACCTGCTGGAAGAGGAGGATGATGAGAGATCAGATATCAAGGTATTACATTTCACAAAGCATGACTCGGATGGTTAATCTGATAAAAGCAAAAGGTTGTTTTCAAAGGTTTGAGGAAATCATTGTACTTAATAACACTAACTTGCTGAGATCATATTTGTATTACACCCACAAGCTTGGATCACGTTCAAGAAAACCTACAAGTCTTGGTCAATGTCTAACTTCAAGCTAGCACCTTACTAAAATAATTTGCATGTATTTCATGCTGTACAAAATTCTGTTATTTATCTGACAATGTTTTTTTTCATTCTTCCTAGGATCCCACTAATGGCTACTACAATGTGCGGGCTCACGAGGACCGCCACATTACAAGAACTGGGTTCTCCGAATATGTCCCTAATGCTCGCCCAGTCTACACTTCCTCTCAGCTTCCCTCGCCGAGCCCCTTATATGGCCAACACTCCACTCAGCCTCGGATTTATGACTTCTCCCAGCGTTACGCCACAACCCCTGCCACACGCACCACCTATGAGCAACAGCAGTCTCAACAACCACAGCAACAACAGCAAACTCCTACCATCTATCCTCAGGATCCACTCTATGCGGGCTCCGCCTACCTGCCCGCCACCTATAGCCGCGCCTTCACAAGCTACGTCAAACCCGCATCCTGCGAGAAGGCTGACGGGTACGAGCATTCAGACCAGGCCAGCAAGGTGTCCAACTCCTCCCGTTTCTCATACGCATCCTCGCAGGTGTCGTCGCAGCAGTCTGACTATGGGCGGCCCTCGCAGCAACGCATGCAGACTCATGTGTGATGGCTCCCTCGAAGACCTGCTAAGGGTCTGGCATGATCAAAGACTTTCTTCTGAATGGGTTCAGGAGGGATTAAGCGAACTTTAAACTGAGATTCAAGAGGCGGAAAAGCTTTATTGCTATCTTGAAGTGAATGTTGGATCGATGGAAAACTTCTTTCGAAAGAACTACAACGTGCCAAGCTTGGAAGTCACCATCAAGCTACTGATTTTCTTCGTCCAAATGTTGAACTTTAAGGGAAATAAACATCGTCCATCAATTCATCTCTATGGCACTGTATTTCCATTCAAAAAGGCTCCAGCATTGACCCTTCTAGATCTTGGAGAAGGAAAGCAGTGCTGTGGGGAAGGGCAGTGTCCTCATGAACTAATCTTTGTAAACGAGGACAAGCTCATGACACTACGCTGAAACAATCAAAATGACATGAACTTGCAAAAAATCTAAAAGATAAAAAATAAGTGTTTGTTGGCATGCTGATGGAATTGTAAGCACATGTGTGTATCAGTGACAACAGGTCTTGCCTACACAAAGTGGCTCAAAGTTCAATTCACAAAGCAGGGGAGCAGAAGAAAGAAGAGCGCATGCGCTCACCCTAAGATATTTCTTCAGAAGCTCTATCTGTAGTCTGCACTGCTGTTGGGCTAGCAAGAGAGTATTTATGTAAAGCCTCAATGGACCAGTGCAGGAAACTGGAATCTGGAATGCTTTGGTTAAAAAAAAAAAAGAAATTATGGACAAAATCCATAAAATATATTTCTGTCTGTTTGATGGAACCAAGATTGGCCAATCCCCAAAGAATCAAATTTAGAGGTGCGGTCTTTTTAAGCTATATTCTCAAGGACTTGCTGCAGAGTTCAGAGTAGAGCCCATTTCGGGACCACGGTTTCTTAAGTCAAGCTATGTACGGCAAACCTAAATTACAGCACGGCCTTGTGGCGTGCAGTAATAATCTTGTAATGTTCCTTACGTGACCACTGTATGTTACAAATACAAAGTGTGCCAAGGTGACTGTTATGTCATGCTGACATGGCTGACACCGTCAGGTAGCACCAACATGTTTACATAGAAGAAAAAACAGAAAAAAGAAATAGCAAGTGAAATGCAGTACTGTCCATTTCCACTTAGAGCCACTTCAATGACTGTACAAATTGTTGGGAAATTCACTCCCGTCTGTTGCATGCAGATGATGTGTGTACGTGAATGTAATCAGCATTTCTTCTCATCTGTTTGTTCCTTGTGTGAGAAACCGCTTACTGCACCCTACGTCTGTTCGATCTTGGATACCTGCATTTGGAGGTTACCATACTGCCATTTTCCTTTGAGCCTGAATGGTCGGCTCCATTTGGAAAGATAAAAAAAAAAAAAGTCAAAATGAACTGTAAGATAGGTGAAACAAAACATTGGTTGTCTTTATTTTTATATTTTATATAAGCCTTAATGTACAGCGTGTAAGCTGCTCTATTGTAAAGTACCTTTATATTATAAAATGCATTTATCTATATCTTTGAGTTGACTTCATTTGGTTCACAACGGTTTTTACCCCCATGTTACCTATCAGTTTTGGAGAGGTGAAAGGTGTTACGTTACACAACTAATTGACCTTTTCCTTCCGTTTCTTTCTTTTTTTTTTAATAACGTTCAAATAATTTTATTTGCTAAAAATGAGCTATTGTTGCTTGTAACTTTGTACACATATTTATATTTCAATAAAACCATTTCAAATAATATCTGCTCTGACTGAAGTGAGTTTGGCACACATCGCTGGGTCTCGTCAAATGTCATGAGGGAATGAGGACAAACAATACCGGGGCTGCCGAGTTGATGAATACATAAATTAGCAATGATGCCTATGTTGATTCTCTTATTCCCGCGGCGACAGCAGGGTTTTTAATAAAGACGGATGAGATTCCCAAGCCTCCCGCTGTCTGCGTATCAAACATAGCAGGCACAGGCCGTCTCCCCTCAACGCAACCAAATATTGCGCTGACGGAGCGGGTGTTGTGTGACAACATTATCTTGTCGTGTCACCCAGTCTCTCAGATTTCATCATGTCACGCCGAGCTTCACCGCAGGGAGTGTTGAAAACATAAACACGTACTCAGCATTAAACAAATGAACTGATGGCTACTCAGGTAAATTTAGGGTCACGTTTCCATCAGCTGTCATCATCCCTTGCATACAACGAACATTGCCCAAAGTAACCAAACAAGAATGAATTTGCATAATGTGCAAACCTGATAATATAAAATGCAAACTCTGCTATCCATAAACTGTCAGTGGCATCATATGGCACAAAGTCCATTCAGTGAGTGTCTAAAAGAATGCTGTGGACAAAATGGCTATTTTTAAGTTAAGTTAATGTTTTAAATTACCGTGATAATACGTTAATAGCAGAAAGAAGAACCACTCGGTTTGCCAGAATTGACATTTAAGTTAGGTTAGCCAATACTGACTGAAATAACCAGTGCCTATATACAATAAAAATGTTATGAAACCTAAGGATTAGTTAATTGTTACTTATACTAGTTATCAACTAGTATATACTAGTTAATCAACGTTTTTCTGAGGTAAATTCTCAGTTTAGATGCCTGGCCAAACGTGCTGTCTTATGGAGCTGATCAATTGGATATTAACGTATTAATGATAACATTTCTATATTTCCAGGTTACATGATTAAAACAATGAAATTAAGTACAAAAACAACAATAGGGGAGCGCCGGGCACAAAGTAAGGCGGGGTTAGTTGTAACACACATGGTATGAATATTTCCACACATGCTAGCACAGCAAACATTTACAGTATTTATTAGTTACCATATTAACATTATATAGGGAAAAAAGTGTGCCAAAATTTAAAAATCTTTTGAAGATATCAATTAACATTTATTTTACCATAGTAAAATTAAAATTCTGGCTTAAGTAAATTTTTCATCTCTGTTTTTATTAATCATTTAAAATGAGACAAATCTGCTATTATTTTAATCTCCAATCTGTTACTTATCAGTTTAGATAGTTTTTTTTAATGCTTCGCTAACTAGCTGTTGCGCAGATGGGGCACGTTGTAACACTGCGTTACAATGTGCTATTCTAAGACATTAGCGATGTAATTTACACTATTGACTTTAATGAATTTTAACGAGAAACAACGAGAAACAGGTGAATAAAGACATAAGACATGTAAAGCATTTTTGCTCGTTTATATGGGCCGTCCCAAGCATGGTTGCAAATGTGTTCATTGTCAAACTCCAAAATCAGATCATTTTTAATTATTAAAAAACACCATTATTTTATTTGAAAAAAAATATTTTATTTTATTAACAAAATATTTTAGCACGTTGTTACATTTCACTTTCATTTTCTGAGGGTAAATAAAGAAAAACGTATACACTGTAATCATGAAACAAAGCGACATATTTGTACTAGACAAGTGTAAAATTACTGTGGATAAAAAAATATATATTCTGAACCCCATGTGGATTTACACAAACTGAGAAAGTCCAAAAGCGTTACTTTGTGCCCCGCTTTCCCTACACATCCCTACATGAATATAACACAAGATGAATCTCACCAATAAGATGATCTGTGAACTATGGTCAGGCAATAAACAAAAGGTGTAACGGAAATGAACAGAAAAATTGGTTGAACTATGTCTAGCCTGATTTCAATCATGTATTTCGTTGACCACAATGCTTTCTTTCGATCATTTGATTACATTTCTCCATTAGGTAGCCTAGTATGGTGACCTTTGGATGCCTAGATACCGTATTAATGTGCAATATGCTAAAGTGCAAGAGTTGTTATGACATCGATTGGAGATGATATAAAAGGTTAAACACCAATCTAAAGCTCATACAAGGTCAAATCTGGCATGTAATTAGCCTAAATTCAGTACTCTGTCAACCATTTAAAACAACTGTTGCTGTGCAGTGCAATGCTTAATTAAACCTAGCTTTTTAATTGGTGCAAGGCCAAAACTACATTCACATCTGTAACAAAGACACGCTGTGGATTTTCTCGTATCAACTGAAAAGAGTAGATTTATGATGCTTTCTAGTTTCATTTTCCATTAGGAGAGCACTGATTTATGGGCAAATAATTGTAGAAGGAAATGTTGACATTGGTTAAATGCCAAGGCTATCTGATTTAATATTGATGAAAAAACGGTTTTGAGTTTTCTTTACTACATTTTGCATTCTGAGGGGGAAATGAAATTACTGGGAAATGACCCAAAACACTCTATTCTGGAAAAAAAGTAATTTAAAACCAGTATGTATTTTATTGTCAAGAAAATATTATAAACTCTAGGAAAATGTGCATACATTAAAACATTTGCATAGTGTTAAAATATAAAATATAACGACACAGAAAAGACCAACAAGTTCAGTTACATTAACAATACAAAGCGCATTTAGTCACCCAGACACATAAAGCCACACATAATCAATGCAGTTTAAAAACAATTAAAAAAATGAAAGTCTAACAAGCCCTCAATAGGTCAAATTGCACATCATGATGCTATATGAAACTTCTGTAGTACGTAAATAAAGCATTCATTGCCTGACATCTCTCAAAATACAGCAACGTCTCTTGTACATCCTGGGAAAATAAGTCACTACACTACAAAGCCTGAAAATCTTACTAAGCAAGTGGACTTTCCATGGGAAAGAAACTTGCCAAGTAAGCATTTATTGCCTGACATCTCTCAAAATACAGCGAACGTCTCTTGTACATCCTGGGAAAATAAGTCACTACACTACAAAGCCTGAAAATCTTACTAAGCAAGTGGACTTTCCATGGGAAAGAAACTTGCCAAGTCTATGAGGAACCGGCGGTATAGATTCCTCGATACGGTCGGGCCTCTTTGAAGGAGAGACCATCCTGCTAGGTTGTTTCAGCCAACAGCTTTGACATTGATTGGCTGGAACTTTAACATGCAGCAGAAGTGTGTGACCTATGATGGCCTTGGTTGTATTGGCAAATGGATGATGGAAATATCCTATTTTTACCTAATCCTCCATTTCAGAGCTTTGGCACTGAGGTTCCGAGATCACACAGATGTGAGGAAAGAAGGTCAGCCTGAGTGGGATGCTTACAGAAATTTCTAGATTGCAAAGAAGCTTTTGACCTTCGCTTAAAGGGGAAAAAAATGTAGGGATTGAAGCTACCTCCAAAGCCGGAAACAAGAGTTTCTGAGAAGAGGCAGGGTCCAGTCTTTGGAACAAAGGCACATTTTGAGCATAAGAAAAAGACTTTTTAAACAGAATATAATTCATAAAGATAACAACATGACTTCCACCAGGTCATAAGTGCTGGCAGGCTCATTATAGGACAGTTTGAACTCTAAGTGCCATTTATGAAGTTACTGTTCAGATACGAACAAATGGAACTACAACTGCGTGACAAAGAGTTGGTAAATGAGTGTAACAGTACATCACAGTGATATATATTCTCATTATAGTGGTATCTGCATGTATTTTATGAACCTTTTTATTTGGTTGACTAAAGTTGAACTCAACTTTAGATTGATACCGCTATGAAAAACATCATTCATAAGCCATAACAACCAAATAGTCATACTGAATGAAAATGCTATTATGAAAACGACCAGGTGGTCTGAAACGTATGCGAGCTCAATTTGAATGAATTTTTTCTCACAAAGGATGTCGACCAAAGCTGTATTCACTTTCGTTTTTATGAGTGTGGCTCACATACTGTACTAAATATTCACGGCACTCAACACTTGTGTTCTTCTGCTTTGGTTGTTGTATGACTGCAGGTCCAGGCTTCACCATATGTTTGTGATTCCACGGATCCAATCCCGCAGTTTGGTGACACGTGTGTAGATGCCAGGCTTGTTCCGCCGAGCGCAGCCTTCTCCCCAGCTCACTATTCCAGCCTGGAACCATTTGCCAACATCGGAACGACATACAAGAGGACCGCCAGAGTCTCCCTGCGGAAGCCAAAAGAAAGAAACTTTTAAACGTCATTCCACATTTTCCAAAACTCGACGAAATGCATGGAGGACACTCATGTAACTCAACATATTTGATGACCGTATTCAAGAGTTGCCTGTTGATATATTCTAGAGAACGTACTTTAATGCATCACTGAATGTTTACTTCATTTTTAATGTACAGTATATTGTGATTATTTTATTTTGTATTTATTTTTCCAGTTTTTTTTTTATTGTGCGTATTGATGCTTTGCAATATTGTATATAAAATAATCATGCCAATAAAGTGCTTGAAATTGAAAAAGGAGATGAAATGATGATTATGTATATGAGAAACTGAAAAACAGAAAGGAAAAAAGGAGGGCTTGTAAAGCAATTGCAAACGATTTAATTATTATTGTAATCACTTATCATTTAGTATTTTGTACCTCTAATTTAAGCTGCTTATTTACGGTGTCATTTCATTCCATTACTATTATTCCTGAATGATTTGTTTTGTGTGTAATACAATTCGGCTCTTAATTACTTTGCCAATATTGCAATGTAAACAGACGTGGCAATAAAGCATATTTGAATTGGGAGGTGAGAGGAGAGAGAGAGAGAGGAAGACAAAACAATGCAAAGTACAAAGAGAGAGAGAGAATGTGCACAAAATCTATGAGCTCCTATAGCAGGAGAGGAAGATAGAAAGGAGTCACAAGACCAGGACCGGAACCTGTGCGAGAGAAAAGCACACTAAGAAGATTACACCCAGAAT